TTACATGAAAAAAAATAATGTGACTAACATTTTTTTTTTTATTTCATAATGTCGCTCACAGCAAGATGTACGAAAAAAACGAAAAAATTACCGCATTTACATACCTATATACTTTTACCACACGCGTAATTATAACAATATAATGTACTACAATATAATTGGAATCGACATTATAATTTCGTTACTGGTCTATATGAAAATCGCGTGCACATAATATTTAGGGTGTGTCGGCGGCAAACGGAAATTTTGAACGGAACCATAACGAGAAACTTTTTTCGTATTCTGCGTTGTTGATAATATTGTGCGCAACGCAAAATCGCGTATCCGTTTTGTGTTAGATATATTGTGTATGCATTATATGAGGATATGGGCAAGTCCGATGTGTTTACAATTTACATATTACTCGCGATAAATGCATTTGTGCTTGTATGTGTGTTTCACCCATTTTCATGGCTACAGGAAACTTCACTATACTCTAAGTATTCCGTCGCCGTTGTGTTATACTTTAGGTACAGTTGATTTAATAAACAAAGTACCTACTTCTGTGTGCGTGTGTATATTATAATTTATAATGTGCGTATATAGTTCGCGTCGCTGTGGTTTATGTAATATACATTATATTATCCGTTTAATATCCTTGCAACTAAAAACGAAATGGATATTGATTCGTGGTAGGCGTCCCGGAAATATGGTTTTAGTTTGACAGTCGTGTTTGTACAGTTACGCTGTTTGTATTTTATATGATGAATACTTTTCTATATTATGTATATTGATAATCAGGGTAGTGGTATAAAAGTGTTTTAAAGTTTGTTTATGTTTTTATTGTATCTGCTATATAAGGACTGTATATACAGTTTGTTCGATTTTAAATATCTTATATTTTATATAGATAGGTATTATATATTTATAGACAAAATGCAATCATTGTAATACAAACCTATTGGAATTTTATCAACAAAATAACTAAATAAAACTTAACTTTTCTACGAATTGTACTAATAATATATTTAAAAATGTAATTAATGTCTGTTCTCGAGTGGAATCAAGTAATTATCCGGTTATGCATAATATATTTCCGAATTACATTCGTGTTTTAACAGCAAAATTATACAAAACTAAATTCGTTAGTATTTTTTACATTATAATACTTTTAGAAAGAGAACTGCTAGTGTATATGGCATAGTGGCGTATAAATACCTAATACGAAAGCAAGCTAAACAAAAATGTATTATTTGATCAGCGATCAAACTGATCAAAGTATATCAAGTAAAAAAAAAACCTAATCTAATAGCATTAGAATAAGTTACTCTTTAAAAATAGTCTCTCGTCAGGTTTGAAAGCATTGTTGTGTTCTCTTTTATATAGTTTATCCAAGGATGGCGTTTTCAATGAAATAATATATGAAATGTTGTTATACTCGTGTTTTTAATATAAAAATACATTCATCTCGTCAAAAGTAGTTCTTAAGTTACGTTGTTGTTGTACTTCTTGGATTTTATGTAAGTACATAGTTAAGGCTGCTGAGAGTTTTGAAGCTGAAACATTTCTTAATATAATTTCCGAAAATGTATTGCGAATAAATAAATGACGTACTTAGGTATTTACACTTATTAGTGATTCACTCAATTTGTTTGATTTATACAAGTATACGACGACAGGCTGTATGTAATGGACTTAATTATTCAAATGTTTAATATTGGTCCTTATTTTTTAAACGGCATTTAAAAAAGAAATCTAAAAACACGGTTATTTTTCTTGGTAGAAAACTTTTTTTATTTTAGACATTAGTTAAGGATTTGATTTATGAATTATTCATCGACTCAAAGTTTGAGTTCTGCACAATGCAAATATTCGTTTCGCCTAAAAATTCGATTAATTAATAACGAAAGACCCGTCAGAAGCGTGAAACAAATGTTATGTAAATGCCCTCCGACCTTTTTGCTCGATTAACGGCCATAATTATTTAGTCCTCGGTGTACGGTCTGGGATATATTATGATATATATATATTATATGTATGTTTAATGGTGGCGTAGATCTGTTCAAAACCTTTGGTGTTAAATAATAATGATAATGATAATAGGTTAGTGTAATATGATGCGTTGATGACACGTTTGATTAAATTTCGGTTGGATTCTGTTTGTGCGATGCGGTCATCCTCGTTTTCCGCCCATTTACATATTTATCTCAGAGCGTACCTACATAATTTTCTGTGTATTATATAATATAAATTATAAAGTACAGTGCATTGTCGGTTCCGGTATACGATATAGATAACACGTAAATATGCGCCGTGTATCACGTCTGCAGCCGTCTCTGCAGCAACCATGTGTAGGTAATTCTGTTTTCTTTTTCTTCGTCCTCATCTTTGTCCCTTGGTGATAAATTATACTTTTAGCGTAGGTACCTACGTCATGATTTTATTCTTCAAAAGTTACTCGAGGGCACCACACCCGAACATAATAAGTAATAACTTATCATTGTGTATATTTTTATAATATATATATATATATATATATGTACATATCGTTGTGTATATAATTTTACTGCAAACGGCAAAATGTCTAGTCGTTTCGCCATCCGTTTCGGTCCCGTGAGTTCTTCATTGTTATCGCCGAAAAGTTCTTAAATAAAAAGTATTTTATGTGGACGGATGTATCGTTGTTATAGTTGTTTAGTGTGATAAAACTGAATAAAAAACAAGTCGCGGCAATAAAACTCTCGTGTTTCGTTTTGGTTTATATAAACTTCGTGATTTCTAATACTGAGATTTTGACGATAAATTTACGATATTGTCTTCATCGGCTATTTATATTAACTGTTGTAAACTTTTAAAAGTACCTATATATGCATAATATTACATACACTTTGACTTAATATTGTATAATTGCAACTGAGCTATATTTATTAAACATTAAACGAATATTACAAGACAAACAATTTTTTTTCTCAGTACCTAGTCAATAAATAATGCGTATAGTATAATATAATATGTTATACTGCATACAGATACGAAAAAATAAAAATATGACAAAAACTAAATTCGTCAGATCACGTAATTTTAAGCGGTGGAAGATATTATAAAAATACGATTTATTTTCATAACTGCTCGTTGATAAAATATATTATTATACCTATGCGGTACATAATGTGGTCAGCGGAAATTTACACGATATTATAATATATACGCTTGTTGTCTGCAGTGGTTGTTTTCCAAATAATTTTTAGCGTTCAGTTCTAATTTTCCTAGGTGCAGCTCAGTGGTGTAGACGGATGATGATGAGACGTTTAGCATTTTCGATGTGACGTCTTCACCGTAGTGTTACTTTCGTAGTACGTCTATTGTCCCGACGTCTCTGTGACGGAAAATAATAGTAACAGTAATAATGTTGTATTATGTAGGTCAAATAATTTATGTGAGCTTCGACCCCGTCGTCCATGACCGTCTTTTTAACCACCAGGCCGACGTTACAGGATGGGTGACGTATTTTGGCTGGCTGGCTGCTATTATATATACGTGTTCTGTTTACGACAGTGTTTTTTTGAAGTTTACGTCTGCGATGTGCCAAGTCGATTTTCCTCGTATACCGCCGTACAATCGGTGGAGGTGGCGGACGCGATGAATATATTATGTATATATACTATATATAGTTCCCAGTCTGCGGGGGTGTGGTGGTTGGCCGGCGCCGTCGGCCGAAAGGGAGGAGATAACGACTATATAGTGTTGTTGTGTATTATGATCTCTGTCGACCCCTAGCTTCAGGCATATTATGTATACATCTAGTGTTTTCGTGTTTTCATGTATTTTATTTTTGGTTTTCTGAGTCGACGTCATTGTTTACCACACACACACAATGTACGAATCGCTTTTAAGTCTAAAATTGGGTTACGTGTGCAAACTGCGTAATTCTGTGTGCTATAGTGGCGTATATACTGTATACATACTCGGATATGCCCGGAAGCATTTTTTTTTACGTCTCAGTGCGGTTTCGTTGTTGTGGCTTATCCCTGCAAACGATCACCGCCGTCACGGGCCGAGTTAATCTGCGTAGTTATATTCGCGGCGTGAGTGTGTGAAGCGTCGGAAGCAATTTTTTTCATCCTGAGTATTTCTAATATATTTTTACTTGTGTATCAATTCGACCATCCGACTTGACGTGTGACCGAGTAACGACTATAATAACGATTGTCATGCACGCCTGACCGGTCGAATACAAAAGACGGATCGTATACCTATATTATTATAGCATTGTTTCGCTCTATTAATATATAATATAATGTATAAAATAGTGTACACCTACTCTATATGGTTATTATAGGTTCGTTAATTATTGTTTTCTGCGTTATGTTTGGAGTTTTGGACATTATTAAATACCACCACTCACCAGTCATTACCACTGCGTAGGCATCTCTTGATAATGGTTTCGTTTTATACTATATTATATTAATCACTTAGCTCATCATTTATCACTAGCCCCTTCTGCTATTAGTATTCCTGCCAATCGCAGTATTGTTTTCTGTGAATTTTTGTAATACACTTATAATATAATATTTCTTTAATCGTCGAAATGCTCAAGTCCCGTTTTTATATTTCAATAGTATTTTATCGAATTTTAAATGTGTTAAGATATTTATGTTGTGATACACGGTATAATATTTAAACAATAGCATACGTTTGCGCTCGGATCGATAATGAATTATTAGAAAATGGTTTTATTTAGAGACTAAAACACCTATTACATAAATTAAAGAAAACAACTGTTCGAAGGGTATTTTTTTTAACCCTTGATAAATGTCTAAATGTTACTGTAGTTAAAAATAAAGTACCTAGGTACCTGAATTTATAAAAGTTTTATTTTTTCAACAACGTATAACATTGGATATAATATATATGTATCAAGCATTTTTGGCATGTTATTAATTAATATTAACACTGAAAAATGAAATTATTTTTCAGATAAAATTGGTAAATGAAAACGTTTGTGTGTTATAGGTTCAATCATGTTTCATGTACGACGAAGGCCGGCCGATTACCATCCTAGAAAACGAAAAAAGAAACCAACACACAAGTGGAACCAGCAAAACAGCACCAGTGAAATGTTGGAGTACCGGTACGAAGATGGATTGGATAGATTGCCGTTCTTTTTAGAGCTCAATGCTGGTCAGTATTATCTATACTAACTACTAAGTATACCTAGTTATTTAATTTTTTAAAAATCCTAAGAAATAAAACTTAATAAAAAATAAAAACCTTTCAAATTATTTTTTTTCCAATCGATCGCTAAAGCTTTACCACGAATTTCTTTGTTAACTGCACCTGTCAATTGGATGAAACACTTCGGTATATTATAAAAGTGACCTCGTCCGTCACATTATCTGAAATTAATCTTGATAATTTTAAATTGTCCTAAAACAAAACTTGTATTACATAAAGTTATCTATAGTATTATGTATATGAGAATGGGATTTCAGTGGGTGCATAAAATATTATATTTTTTTACAAGAAATGTTTTTCGGTTATTGGCGAGTTTTATATTAGATTTATATTTTTTAATGAATTCGATGCGTTTACATCAATAATCGTTTTGTACAGTTGAATCGACAATAATATCGTATAAGTTATTTTTTCCGCTGAAAATTGGTTTAAGTACAGATATATCATTCATTAATAATGTAGTTTATGTTAATGTAAACATTTAATATTGGTATGTATGGTTGTTAAATTGATATAGTATATAGCACTAATTATTGGGACGATAAACTGTAAACATCATAGATTTTATAAAGTTTACGAATTGTTTGAAGAATTAAAAAAAATGTAACATAAATATATTATATTATATTATCGCGCCATGTGAATGAAGGCAATGGAGAAATAATTTCGTAATCGTATATAATTTGATATACCGTGTATACCTACTTGTTATACTATTTATGGTTAAATTATTTGTACGGTGGATCGTATTCATCGTAAATTCATATTTTCGCAGACGGTATGGAAATGGTGAATCCCAAACGGTACCGAATTCATCCCAACGTGACGGAAGTGGGTTGCGAAAGACAGAATCAACCACCTAGTAATGCTCAATGTCTTCAATTGAACGGTCCCAACATCCAACCCCGGCATTGTGTAATAGCGCACACTGAGGGCATCGTCACCGTGACACCCTGTAGTAGGGACGCAGAGACGTATGTCGGCGGGCAACGGATATTCGAAACTACTATACTACAGGTAAGTTTTCGTGTACAATGTGCCTATGCGTATATTACCTTTGCAGTGGTGGCCAACGATATGGTGCTACAAGGATTGTCTTGGGTGAACAACACTGGCAAGTGAATGCGGGTAGTAGGAATCACAAAAAAGAACATTTATCGCATGATCAGTGTCGTATTTTCAATTTTTTTCTGGTGGGGGGGGGGGGTCTAATAATTCCGACATAATATAGGTAGGTACCTACTGATTGATAGAAATAATATTTTATAGATTATAATAATAGAAAATAGTTTTTTATTATATTTTAATAGGTATTCTAAATTTCATCGGCTAATTTTAACACAAGTATATTTTACATAAGTACAAAATCAAATAGTCTTTTTTTTTTACAAAGTTCATCCAAAATTTCTTGTGGTACGAGAGAATCTTTTAAATTGTAGAAATATGACATTATGACAATAATCGTCCATATCACACTCGCTAATCTCTGGACAAAAATCGTAGGTGAACAAAGTCCTTAATGAACACTATTTGTCGGCACTATTTATTGGAGAATGATGTGCGTCGTCAATTTCTTGCAATGTTTTGAATGTTTCGAGAATTATTGATGTTTATCTCATACGGGTATTTTATAAAGTGGTAACACCTACCTTGAACATACAATACAGGGAAAAGTTTAGGGACACTCGGCGGTGGGTTTTTGAACGTTCGACAGATTCCGTTAGCTAATTTTCAACTATATATTTCATATAAATATTTTGTTCTTGGGAAAAAAACCATGTCCGCGAAATGTCCCTACATGTCCCTACAATAATTGTAGGGCCTACATAAATCGGGGTCAACTAACATGTAAGATTTTTTTTTTTAAGAGGTTCTTGGGGGGTGTCCAGTACCCTTGGACCCCCCTTAAATACTCCAGTGCGCATAATTTATTATAATATTAATACATGTGTAAAAAATTGGGTACACATGGACACGGGACGCTATAGTTCTAGAATTCGAGGTACTTTAATAGCGCTCTTACTACCCCAGTGATTAGTGCCCATGAATTGCACGCTAGTCATAAAAACTAAGGTTTCAAAACACACGTTGGCCACCATTGACGGATACACATAGTCCGGGAGTTACTGTAAGTCGTTTAAAATATTATTATGTTTTATGTTTCATGATTCGTATAGAACGGGTCAATTGTGAAATTCGGACGACTGAACAATCTTAGGTTTTTAGACCCGTGTTATGACGAACGGCCGCGGCCTCGTAACAATTCGCTGAGAAACGTTCAAGACTACTACGACAGGTAAATAAAAAATATAGTTTCGTCCACAAACGAAATCGTCGGGTACACCGTGATTATACTTCACTATAATATATATTTTAACTGCTTGATATTTATTTTTGCACGTGCTTTTGGTTTTTAGTTTGTCATTATTATTTTTTTTGTTTTTTTTTTCTCTAACACTTAATTAGTGGGTCGGTAGACAACACCCAGCACTCAACTGTTATGCAACAAAACTTTGAGACAACTTTTGACGTGGACGGTAATATTGAAACACGTTCCACTTCTAGCCAAGGGAATAAGGACGATACTAGATCACAGAGATCTATCACGAGCAGCCGCGATGGCAATCGGTATTATTATTATTAAATCACACTATATTCATTATTGTTTATTATTAACCGATGAGAATGACGGCTGACCACAATACCATGCGTGTATACGCTTTAATACATTATCTCCACGTTCAGTGACGTCTGCCCTTTACGTATAATATATATAATATATACTATTGACATCATTTTAGATTGTCCGCCGTGTACGGCCGCACCAGCACTGCCCCGGTAGCAGACAACATTTTACCCTGCGTCCTGGAAGTGCGGGAAGAGACTGAAGAAGCGTGGATCCACGCGGTCACCGTGGACGTTGATCCGTCGACGTTGACGTTCAAGCACGCTCCTGCTTATTGTCTATACCTATTAGCTAGGTATAGGGCGTCGACTTCGTACCGACCTGACGTCACACCAATGGAACGAGCTAATCGTTTATCATTGACTTTCGCTAAAGTCGCTACTATACTCTATACTATGATACAGGTAAGTGCGAACCACCACCTTTATGCCCGACTGATTATTATTTCGGTATTTTATTGTTTGAGTACAGTATAAATATACAGAGGACATTTTTTTATAGGGAAAACAAAATGATTTGACTTTACTGTCATTTTGGCTCGCAATTGTCACTGAATTACGACAATTTTTACACAGCGATCGCCATTTGTCCAATTTTTTGACAGAGACCATTGAAATGCTCCACGACACCCAGCAAGCGGCCATGCGGTATATTTTATATTTGATGTATAATTTCGCAACATAATTTCTTATTCATTTTTTTTTTAAACTATTCATTAGATTTATCGTTGAGTGTATACTGGAAGAACTGATGTCAGTGTTGCCCGACATTTTTGCAGATAACACGGACGCCGATAATGAACATTTACCCGCTAATTCGGTTTGTTATATTTATTTTTATTTATATAAATATGTTATACAGGGTGTTTCTGAAATGGATGAGGTACTAGTATATGCGTACTCAGTGTGATGGCCTAATGAAGATTTTTTTGAAATTTTTTTCGTATCTTCAAAATTTGGGTTTATACAATTTATTTTTAGAACATTATCTTAAATGTAAAAATACAATTTCAAGTTGTATTTTTTGCAAGATACTCATACGAATCAACAACGCTCGGATCTCCAATTAAAAAAAAATGGTTTGGCATATCGATTTGTATGAGAACACTACAAGATAAACACTGTTGATATTTATTTGTCGTCATTTAACATACACAATTAATTAACGTATTATTTTACATTGTCAACCAATAAAAATTATAAAATAATAACAAAATTAGGGTTAACAAAATTTTAAATTATTAAATTTACTGAAATACATTTAAGTTGTGTTACATTGTAAAATAATCAAAGTTAAATACACTTTATTTTGTATACCTATTCTTATCTATAGTTGTTCGATGTGAGTTTGTGCGCCCGTTAACTTCAATGCACTTTTCCATCCGACGATGTAATGAACTCCAAGTTTTTTTCCAACAAATTTGGTGTTTGACGAATGATATCAGTTATATTATTAATTCTCATAAAAAGTTCATCTCTATTATGTAATTCTTTGGTAGGTATAAACTTGTTCTTTCTGCATAATCAATGTTAGTGTACTCCATTGATCAAAATTAAAATTAAAAACTATTAAATCTTAAAAACAATTTTAAATGGTTTTTCATTGTCAAGTATTGAACTTAGCTATAATCAAGTCAACTAATGTTCTTAATGTAAAAATTACGGTCAATTAGTTATTTTATAATAGACATTACGGATAAAAATTACCATATTTTATTACCTGTACATCTAAACCACACAAGTCAATGTATTTCAGTAAATTCGATTATTTATAACTTTGTTAACCCTAATTTTGTTATTGTTTTATCATTTTATTAGTTGACAATGTAAAATAATACGTTAATTAATCGTGTATTTTAAATAACAACAAATAACTATCACCACTGTTTATCTTGTAATGTTCTCATACAAATCTATGTGCCGCACTATTTTTTTTTTGTAATCTGCGATTCGGGAGTGAAAAACGCTCGACAAGCGCGAAAATGATGTGACTCCTAGATTCCAATGAGAATTTTGCAAAAAATAAAACTTGACCATTTGTTTTTATATTTAAGATAATGTTCTAAAAATAATAAGTATTACACCCAGATTTCGAAGATAGAAAAAAAAATTTCAAAAAAATCTTCATTAGGCCATAACATTGAGTATTTTTATACTAGTTACCTCATTAATTTCAGAAACACCCGGCATATTAATCGTTGTTTGATCTTGTCAATCCGACGCAGTACGGATTTTTGTTTTAACCATTAACTTCTTGAGGGTTCTGTCACTAGATAGCCTCTCCCTCTTCATACTAATATTATCTTTTAAATTATTCACCTTATCATATATCATATTTGTACATATGCTACTGTTTGTCTTCTTTCTATTTATTTAAAAAAAACACGTTCATGTATAGTGTATAGTAAAGTAATTTAACGTTTTTCTGTTTGTACAGATCGTCAGTAAGCTTGGTACGATGATGACCACACTTCGCGAAGGCCGCGTTAATGCGTCTCTGACCATCCAAATCTACAACCAAGTATTTAGGTTCATCAACGCTTGGGCGTTTAACCGCCTGATCACCGCCGACACGAGTTATTACACGCGCGCATGGGGAGCGCGTTTGAAGTCTCGAATAGGACGTCTGCAGGCGTGGGCCGAAAGACAGGGTTTAGAAGTTTCCGCCGACTGTCAGTTGGCGTTGATTTCTCAAGCTGCGGATTTGCTACACGTGAGTGATAGACAAACTGGCCAGCAACACCGTGTGCTAATATAATATTATTATTTTTATTGTCATTATTTTCTAGGCGCCAAAATACACTGGCGAAGATTTGGCAAGCATCACTTCCACGTGTTTCAAGCTTAATTCCCTCCAGCTCAAAGCCCTATTGGTTAAATACCAACCAGCACCTGACGAACCAAGACTGCCTCATGAACTCATCGACAATGTTGTTCGGGTAACGGTTTATATTTATTATAATATATTTAATTATATTTTAACTAATACGTATAAAACTATTATGTCTAATCGGTTTTTGTTTATACATAGGTTGCCGAAAACCTGGCCGATGAACTAGCCCGATCAGATGGCCGTGAGATAAGACTGGAGGAAGAAGACGAACTCATGATCACGTTTGTACAGCCCGAAGAAGGATTCAGCTACGAGGTGGCTAGAGGTGTCCCCCCGGGTCTCATCGAATTTATTCAACCTCTCCAGCAAGCTGGTATGTGTCGCCTGACACTTCACTCAAACGCGTCTGGACTGTGGACCGTCTACTTTTTACCAAACGTAATATTCAATACACTTGTTAATAATAAATATAATATTATACACTGAACGTATTATTATCGATTTCTTAAATTTCGAATAGGCCCGAAGTCCTAGTGCGTTAAGTAATAGGAGTGGTGGTTATGCCATGCAAGCACCTGAACCGGACGTACAAACAATACGGTTGCACAAGTCAAACAATGGAATGGGCTTGAGCATTGTGGCTGCAAAGGTAAGTTACTGTGGGTTGTATACTTGTATGATCCGAAGTTTAGTATGGTATTGAGAGTTTTTGTTTGGCTATTTTTTCTAGGGCGCTGGTCAAGAACGATTAGGAATTTACATAAAATCCGTAGTGAAAGGAGGTGCTGCGGACGCGGTAAGTGTAATAAATAATAATACTATTTTTATTGAGTTTTAATTCATTGACAATATTAATTTGTTTTTATTAGGACGGAAGACTTCAGGCGGGCGATCAACTGTTAAAAGTTGACGGACAAAGTCTTGTCGGCATCACTCAAGAAAAGTAAGTAACATAATTTTGCTTAATTTCCATATCTCATATTAAATTATTAATTCAGGGCTGCGGAATATTTGGTACGTACAGGACCGGTAGTGTCATTAGAAGTAGCCAAACAAGGTGCTATACACCATGGTCTGGCTACATTGCTTTCTCAGCCGTCTCCCGTCATGACTAGAGGTAAGATTTAAACGTAATCTTATATATATAATTTTATCAATAATAATATTTTGTATAACACGAGAATGTTGTTGTATAACCGGGATGTTAAATAAAAGTGCTTTTGTTGGTGATTTGTGAACAAACCCGTCGAGACAAATTTAACCGATTAAAACAACTATTTCTACTTCTACTAATGATCTGTTTCATATCTATGACTAACTTGCTTAATATAAATCGATGTGCATTAACGTAAGTCGATCGCTTTCTATAAATCATTCTCTTATTACATTTGGAAAAAGCAAATAACAAGACGCACATTTCGTCCATCTGAAAAAAAGTATCTTTCAAAACAAAATATAGAAATATTGTTAGACGGCCGTGTGATATATATATTTACGACTAAAAATCACCCATTGTTAGATTCCGTCCGTAGGGTAAGGCCAATATCTGATTATCAGCCCCGTGTGAAAGCGAATATTCCGCAAGGCAGTTTATCGATGCATGACATACACGAATGTAGCGACGAAGAGGTGATAACTACTTGGATGACGGACATACTATCTTTATCAGGTGAATTGTGTGTGGGTTATAGGTGTTGGTGTTGGTGGTGGTGTTGTTGGTGGTGGTATTGCAGGTAGAACAAACGTAGCGTGCTGCAGGGATCCTACGCAACCCCGCTTTGGGAACATGCCCTCTTGCAAACCCTCGTCCGACTATCTATCGGTACCGGACGTCCGTAAGAAATGCTATAAAATACCTCCGGAAAACGAGCTGTGTCTGTGCGAGGACATATTCCAGCAGCACCAGGCCAAGCTGATTAACTGTGACATGGAGGACGCTAGCGCCGTCGAATCGTATAAAGACCCGGATTTCGATTCAAATGAAAACGTGTGTGACGGTATTGCCAATAGCGAGTGTTGTTGCGGTGGAGGCGGTGGTGGTGACGAAAATAGCGGCGAAGGCGAATCGCCCAAATCATCGTCGTCGTCGTCATCGTTATCGTCAGAGACTGGTGCCAGAAATGACCAAAAGAATGGCGCCGTGGGAGAAGTGGTCGTGGAAAGCCAGGAAAAGCTCACGGCCGAAGAACGGGACAAAGTCCTACGTGAACTCGAAGACATCGTGACGGGAAATTTCCTGACCAAAGTCCGTCGGTTTAGCCAAGACGTTCATTCGGAGTCTTCTGCCGGTGACGATCATCGTGTCGGTTCTGGCCAGTTGCAGCTGACCAGTGCCGCGGCTGCTGCCAGACTACGTGGTAAACGATCCAGTTCGTTGGACACAGATGAGATTGTCAACTACGGTAAAGTCGCCGAGCTGACTCGAAGGTTCTCCAGGCTAGGCGAGGCCGGCGTGATAACACCCCGACACTATAGGTCTGAACCAGATTTCTTCGATGAGTCCTCGACTTCCGTCCGTCACTTCCGCCGTCGCCACCACCGCGAAGTTGGCTTGTCCTCGTCCTCGTCATCATCGTCCGGTGATGGAATTGGTGGTGGTGGTGATGTTGTTACGAGTAGCGGTGACGATTACGAAGTCGTCCGTCAACCCATCCGAATGGTGTTCATACGGCCTATGAGCGTCAGCGATGATCGGCTTAATAACAGGAGCGGTGGCGTTGTGTTGACCGAAGTGACGAGCGACGGCGAGAACGACGTGAACCAGCAACAGCAGCAACGCACTTTATCGAACGCAACGCAAAACCGGCGACGGTCTTTCAGGAAAAGCGTTGCATTTGACAGTTCGATGAGTTCAGTCGATGGTGGTGGTGGTGTTGACTGCGGGAGCGGCGACGATGCGGCGGTGACCCGTTATCGAAAGCTGAAGGGTGGATGGCAGCAACAACAGACAGATCAGCATTGGCAGCCGGCGGTGACTGACCGCCGGGCGGCCGCCATTAATTACAGCAAGAGCTCAGACACGGTGTCTGTGTCGAACTTTTGCCGGTCTCACAGACGATACTCAAGCGTGGACGTGTACGACCAAGTTAAAAACATCGTGTTTCTGGACGTGGAAAAAACAGAAAAAGAGTTTCGGGACGGGCTGCTAGCTGAAAAAAACCGGCGACGAGAAGCCATCCGGGATTACATGGCCAACAAGGAGCTGCTGCTAATGAAGATGAAGTCGGCTAGCGTAGGCGGTGTGCTACGCTGGAACCAAGAGCATCAGGACACCCTGCTGGACGACGAGGAACCGCCGCAGTCGCCCGACTCGGACGACAGGTCGTCCGAGTCGTCGCCGTCGCCGCCGCCCAAGGACGGGCTACGGAGAGTCCTCCGCACTGGATTAAAAGGCAGGCGGATTAGGAGGTTAAGAAAGTTAGAGTCGAGAAGTAGCGGCTTAGCGGTGGCAGACCTCTGGCGCGTCGTCGGTAATAGAGACGTACCGCCGCCGTCGTCATCGTCACGTCACAGTGCTGCAGGTTGTTGTTCGACTGCAGAACCACCCGATAATCATAATATTACGCTGTGAGCACCGAAATACACACTTGTAACGAACAAAATTGTACATATAGAAGAACGAACGAACGAAAATACAATTTCCGCTCGCTTTTGCTTATTCTGTAGTTATAGTACGTCGGCTATATGGCTTTGCTTGGTGTGCAGCGTTTTTATTGCGTTGTTGTTGTATTTTTTTATTTTGCACGTACCTATAGTCGTGTTTTAGAGTTCTGTGGTAAATATAAAACGCGGTGTAAAACTGTTATATTACCTACACACAGGCGTGTAACCAGGGATTCCCACGGGACGAGTCTTGGGAAAGGGAAGTTGTTGGATTAAAAACACGGATAAGGAATACTTAACTTCGTATATCTCAATTGGCGGGACTTTCTAGTATAAGTAAATCTTCGCTTACCATAGATTCGATAAGAGGAAGTTTATGTATTAAAGTAGATACAATATTATTTGGGAATTTAGTGAATTTTACTGAAATGCAAAATTCATATTTATTGATATAACAATCTTCTCGAACTATTCTCAATTACTATTTGATTCATATTTTTTTATTTTGATTGGAATGATACAAGTTAAAATTCGCTTGTAACATTTAGTGTGAGTGCCGAGGTAGAACAGGATATCCGTTTCTATCACGCCAATTATAATATATAATTAAATCAATTTATCATTACTATTTCGTGGTAAATTGCATATTTTGCCGAGTATAATTAATAACTTCACCATCTGCATGTAATTATGTAGTTCTTAGTTCATAAATGGTTTTGTTTATAAGTTTAAATTTACATGTTTTTTTTTTTTTTAATCGATTTGAATCTATATACAGTGTGTAAACGGTAATCGAGAACACTCAATATCTTTGCGTAGAGACCTGCTATTTGAATTCCGTTTTTTTGGCAGTTGTTATGACATAAAAATACACATTTTTATGGTCTTTGAATTTTTTTTACTTAACTAGTCACGCGCATGCGCATGTCAACTTTTTTTTTTAAATAGCAACCCCCTGCTTTAACCACTAATTATTTTTTGCCTATTTTTTTAATGAATTTTGGTAGTTGAATCAACTTTCTAAGTCCAAAATTGACCAAGTTACAGCCAATCAAAAAAAGAAAAAAATAGAAAAAAAAATGCGCTCAAATTTCAGCTTTTTGATTGTAACTCTGAAAATAATTATTTTAGGATTGTTAAACATTGACATTTTTGTAACTATTTATTACGGTGATATTCAAAGAAATAAACAACATACTAATTTACGTTTTTTCTGCTATAATAAGTTATATGATTTATTACACAAATTAAAGAGAAAATTATTCAGTAATTGAAGTTAAAATAACGTATGAATATCACCGTAATAAATAGTTACAAAAATGTCAATGTTTAACAATCCTAAAATAATTATTTTCAGAGTTACAATCAAAAAGCTGAAATTTGAGCGCATTTTTTTTTCTAATTTTTTTCTTTTTTTGATTGACTGTAACTTGATCAATTTTGGACTTAGAAAGTTGATTCAACTACCAAAATTCATTAAAAAAATAGGCAAAAAATAATTAGTGGTTAAAGCAGGGGTTGCCATTTAAAAAAAAAAAGTTGACATGCGCATGCGCGTGACTAGTTAAGTAAAAAAAAATCAAAGACCATAAAAATGTGTATTTTTATGTCATAACAACTGCCAAAAAAACGGAATTCAAAAAGCAGGTCTCTACGCAAAGATATTGAGTGTTCTCGATTACCGTTTACACACTGTATATAAAAATGAATGTATGTCAGTGTGTCTGTGTGTCTGTGTGTCCATGTTACCATGGTTACCAAGGTTGCCATGGTTACTAAGGTTACCAAGATTTCATATCAATCTATATATATAAAAATGAATGTATGTCAGTGTGTGTGTGTGTGTGTCCATATTACCATGGCAACCATATCTGTATATAAAAAACAGTAAGCTGATTGACTGCTATCAACGCACAGCTCAAACCATTGGACGGATCTGGCTGAAATTTGGCATACGGATAGCTATTATAATATAGACGTGCGCTAAGAAAGGATTTGCCAAAATTCGCATTTTAAATAGGTGCTGAAACAGGGACATTGAGATTCACGATAGAAATTGGAAATTTTATTTTTATTTATTTATAGTTGCCATTGGTTACAGTCTACATTAGAAATTAGCATTTATTTATTGGTTGCCATTGGTTATTCGGGCAGATCAGGTACAAGCTTGCATCAAATCGAATTATTGAACAATGCTTACCAGGGTGGCAGAGTTGCACTTACCGCAGAAAATTACACCCAAAAGGAGTTCAACAATCATAATTTTTTTAAGAGTTGCGATTTTTTACGAGCAACCAAATTTATAAACTTGGTATAACTTTGATACTTTAGAGTTAAATCATACACTTCCGTACAAACAGCACGGGGTCCGCGATCTACCGCAGGTAGATTGCCTACCTGATAATGTACTGCTGCGATTCAGAATTTTTATTCAGGGCAACGGGAAAGATAAGATAAATTTTGAACACCATACACGTTAATGAATTGAACAAAGTTTGAGTAGGTAGTATTGAGTTGATCCATTTAACGGGCGACGAAGTGCACGGGATCAGCTAGTATTTTATAAATATTGGACATTTTCTACTTCTTGAATGATTATATAGAGTGAAACTTAATTACCTACGTTGTTGGGTCTATATAATACACAACAGGCAGAATTATTAAATTAAACTCGATAAATTTTAATATACGTATAATGTGGTTCATTACCTAGTAGTATTAATTTGTTGAACAGTAGGTGCATTCAAAACCCCCGGTGCAATATTGCTCCCAATCATGTTTTTTTTACGATTAAATAATTTAGATTAAATAAATATACTTACTAAAAGCGTTTCAAAAATAAATCGAAATATGGTAAGTTACCTAAATATTATGTATGTATGTGATGGATACGTTCATAAATAATAAATTAAAAATTATTTAAATACATTTAGAATTTATACGAGATTGAATAATATCCAGGGATCTTCCTACACTCTACGCCATTTTCTGTCTCGTTTAGAGAAAATGTCTTATCATTTTCTGCGTTTAAATAATTGTTTTGTTGAACGATTGTAATGCAAATCACGATTTTATCTCGCACAGTACACTTTCTATTAATTATAATTTGTATTTACCTGATCTTTAAGTGTACCTATTTTTATTTTTATAATTTTATTTCATTCGCTGTTATGATAATGAAAGTTCTACGTGATTAGTATATTTATTTATCATTTTTTTTTTAACTTTTAATTTAATTTATTCATAGTTTTGTTATGTTAATTTTTTAACTTTCAATGAATGAAATATTTTAAAAAGTACTATAGTAAAATAATATTTTTGGTGTTTTCTTAGTCTTTTAAATTTATATTTAGAATGATTGCTTCATAATGATCTTTGGGTTTGGACAATTCGTGATTAGATTTGAAATTTAGAATATATTTCCATTTAACTTTTGATATCATATAATTCAATATTTTTTCACAAAATAGTTATTTTGTGTATTTATTGTTTATTTTTATTAAAAGCTTTTGATGTTTAATGGTAATTCATATTTACTATTTAATAATAAAATTGTTTTTATAGAAATTAATAATTACTAATTATTAACAATGAATATTTTAAAACATTAAATTGCCAATTAAGTATTGTTGCACATTTGTTTTTCTAATAACAATATTTTTTTTTTAACAATGATTTCCAAGTTGTTATTTTAACTTTAGTTAATTGTTTTAATGTTCAAGGTTAGGAACCTTTGGAATTTACTTTTTAAATATTCAATTTTCTAAATGTTTATTCTCAGTATAATATGTACACTTATTGATTTGCTTTTATCTAAAAAAACAAGAAAAGCTGTATGTTTGTTTTGTGTAGTCTTTGTGATTATTTATTGGATATATATTTTATTTAGTTGAATGCTTAGTCTAATGATACTTTTATATAATACTTTTCATATTAACTATAATTTGTATTGTTATTGAATTAGGTCCTCGTCGTATGAGCGAACGGGACTTACCGTCTCGGGTGTTGAGCGAACAACAAAACATCAACTCCAGAGGTCCACCACCTCACCATCTGTCACAAATTCAAAGTTCGAAATCCGTCCCTTCTCTCCACAGTAAGTTTTTCACCTAAGTTTAAATCTTGCACACAACTAACGTTATTGATATATTTTAAATATACTTACACTTTTTTTTTATAGGCGTTGAAGGGGCTAGCACAGCCATACCTCCTGTAGTCGGTAGACCACCAACTCAACACGAAGTATTTAATCCTGGATACAATCGCACTTCAACCACATATAATCTTCATCAACAAAACACACTTAGATCTCGGTAAAAAAAAATTGTATTTGTATTTAATTGCCCATATAATAACTTTTCTTCATTTTTAATATAAATATTTTGTGTTTTTAGGTCTAGCCAAAATCTAAATGATCCTCGTCCACACTCCCAAATGGCTATTCGTCAACCATCTAATCCAAATCTCTTAAATGGAAACTATCATCCAGAAAGATCACCATCTGTACATCCAAGTGTATATCAACCCCAACAACATCCTGCATATCAACAGCATGTACAGCAACAGCTATTGATGCAACAACAATATAATAGTCCTACTCCAGAAGCGACTAGTGAACGCTTTTATCAAAACGTTAACCAAATATACAGAAATCAAGACCAAAATGGATATGGTCCATCTGGAAAATTGCCAAGTCCTCCCGACGAAAGGTGTGTTTGTTGTTTAGGCATACCAGTGTATAAATTAAAATGAATGTAAACATTTTCAGAACTCCAAATCAATTGCAAAAGAGTTTCAGAGGATCACAATCATCGTTGCAAAGCAGACAAAGCTCAGATGCGACACAACATCTGAAAGACAGGCCCACGTCGGCTTATATATCTAATAAGGATACTTACAATTTACAGAACCAAGTAAGAATATTGATCTTGTGATTTTGTCTTACAAATATCTGATAAAAATGTATTTAATACTTGTTGTTAACAGGGAATGACAATGCGTTCTCAATCATCACGGGATATGTTAAGACAGGATGCAAAATTGCAAGAGATGACAGAAGAAGTTCGTAGACGTGAAATGAGATCTAGTGGAGTTATGTCTCCTCACCAATATGCTACACAACAGAGACCACCACCTAATCGTGCTCAGCCATATCACGGTTACCAGGAAGCCAAGCCTACCCCATATCTTGGAGATCAAATAAAACCACAACAAGATATGGTTCGTTCTCAACAATTTAATCAGCCAATGAGAGCTACAATTCCTGAGCCCATACCACCCGCCTACAGAGAATCACCACCACCGCCTCCTCCACCACCAACCTCAACTCACCCATTGTACCAGACAAGTCCACCACGCAATGAGCCTAACCGATATATGGCCAGTGGTGGTGAACCACCTAGAGGTGGTTTCTATCAGACGCCTACAGAGCCGTCTAAACAATACCCATTTCAGGGAACTAATCCGTGGCAAAGAGAAGAAAAAGAAAAAGAAGCAGAACGTAGGAGAGAAGCTGCTAGAATGTGGCGTGATCAACAAATGAGCGAACTTGTAGCACTTGGACCAAACAGAACTGTTAGCCAAGAAGAACAATTGCGAGCTCTAAGGTTAGAGAAGGAATTTGAGCGTAGGGCTCAAGAAGAGGGAGAAGATGACGATGACGATGATCAAGTAAAATTAATAATATTTGGTGTTTTAATTTATGGTATAATATGGTTTCTAATAAATTTATTATAATGAATTCAATCATGAATTAGGAGGCAAATGAAAGAGTTCAACAGTTGATGCGAAGTGCCCAACAACAAAGTGATAGGAGACCACCCGCAAATACAGTTCGGACTCCAAACAATAATTTTAATTACATGAATGGTTCGCAAAGAGGTCCACAACCTGTACCATCTAATGGGTATGTTTATTTTTAATATGAATTTTTAATGCTGAGTAATAATATCTTGTATTATTATTTAAAAGAATTAATGATGAAAAAGAACGGTTAAGAAGACTAAAAGAAATGAAAACAAAACAAGTGGAAATGGAAGCTATGAGGGAAGCAGAATTAAAACTTAAAAAAAAGGTTTGTTATTTAAAAATTTAAAATATAGATTTTTTTCAATTAAGTACAGAATTGTATGTTCTTATTTTTTCAAAGATCAAAAAAAAATGTTAACCCATGTCTGATATGCAAGGTTACATATTTAACATAATTAATGATAAAAGGTAGAATTTTAGAATGCTTCCATTATTTTATAAATTATTAATATTATTCAGTAGACATTGATCATTATAGATAAATTATTTAACATTTAAAAATAATACAAATATTTAATAGGTTGCTAGTAATTCATAATAACAAGTATGACTTTCAACTCAGATAAAATAAAATTCTTTTGATTTAAGACTAACAGTGAACGACTATAAATCAAATAGAATAAATAAATAAAGATAAAGATATAGTTTCCAAGCTGCAGCTAGTCATCATACTCACTCGGTTTCACATGAATTGGTTTTCTCAATTTCAGGAGGAGGAACTCAAGTATCAACAACAACAGCAACAGCTATTAAATCAATCATATAATAACAATACGCCTCATAGACTTAACCGCTCTGTGAATCCACCCAACAACTTATCATTGGATAATTCTGGTTATGGTTATAGCTTGGCTTCACAAGGAAGCTTACCATCTCAACGATTGGACAATTTGCTGGGTGGTCCTAACAACAATGACCCTCCACAGCCCCCTGAACGTGGCTCTTCATATGCTATCATGAGTCAAGTGGATACTAAAGCAACTACACCTAGACCTCCAGTTCTCACATCAACACCAATTGGAGTAATAACTACACCAAATGCAAACACCACACCTAAACGTGTATCATTCCAAGATCCTACATCAATGCCGCCCTCACCACCATCGCCAACGTTGGAAAAAATTATGGAAGACCCTGATGTAATAATTGTTTATTTATTTTTTGCGATATTCAAAAAATAATTATTGTACTAATAATTTTTTGTGTGTTCAATAGAACTTCATTGATCAGGCCGAAACAATGTTAGCATCACCACGAAGTCCAGACATTCAGTTTACCAGTGGTAATACACCAGGTGTGATTGGATCACAAGAAGTATACAGGTAAATAAAAATATTAAGAAATGAATATTTATTCAAGTATAAGTAAAAAAAATATAAATAATTTGTTTGTATATTAGGGATCCAAGACAGCGTTTACTAGCTGAGCAACAAAAACAACAAATGTCTAATAAAGCAGGTAGTACGGTGCCAGAAAAATTAAGTTTTAAAGAGAAAATGAAAATGTTTGCCATGGAAACTGGTGAAGACGGTACGCCTAAAGATAAAGTAAAAATATCTAAAGCTCAACGAGAGATTGATAACCTAGGAGCATCAAGTACACCTTTGACTAACTAAATAATAATATTTCAACAATATTTCTTAGAAATGCACTTAAACATCCCATTAAAGTTTAGTAATTTTTTTTTTTTACATAAAGGTTTACTGGAATCTTAATTATTACATTTAAGTATTTCATTTGTTTCTTTAATCATCATCATATTATATTTAATAAGTACAAGTCTTAAATTTGTGATTTATTGTAGTTGAATATTAAACTATAGTTTATTTTCTATTATATTGTATTGTTATATTGTTGAGAGTAATAGCGTTTAAATTATTATCGTTGAATAGTTGTACCATCGTGTTTTATTTTTTAATTTTTGCTGCTTTATATAAAGTATCCCATTATATTTTTTCGATTATGAGTTTCGAACAATTTCAATAATTAAATTTGTTCACAAATTATTCAAGATCTACTTAGAGCAATACATTGTATACAATACATTTAAGAATTAATATTGTTATCTATACAATCAAACATTTCATATTATTATTATTATGATCATTTTTATTATTACATTTTTTTTATATATAATTTTAATTTATTGTAAACTCTTAGTTAAATTTTTTTATTTTGTTTTAATACATTTATTTGAGTTGAAAAAAGTAGTAAAGGAATTTAAATAAAAAAGTTATATTATATAATTATAAAATTTTGTTTGTACATTATTGTGTAAAACGAATATAATTTCGATTTCTAAAAGTATTTTATAATATTACTGTATTTACTATATTATAATATTTATTACTCAATTTTATCATAACTATTGTAATTATTATTATTAATTGTAAAAATAAAACAAAATTTTATATATATATATATATACATAATATTACTTAATATAGTTAATATCGTATATTTTTTTAATAATATATCAGTTTTTTTAGTGTTTATATTGATTTTGTATCTTGTTTCCAATTTAGTTAACTACTTCAATATTGAATACTGTTGATAAAGTAGACATCTAGAAATATAAATACTATATTGTATTACATCAGATTACAAACCACTGCATTTGAAGCTCAAGCAGCATTATGTTATTGTGTAAACTACATTCATACTATCGTTTATGATGTGTATCACTGTAATATAATTAAATATTAATTGTATACATGTATACCTTAGTTCGAAACGATTCACTGTCATTTAAATATTTAATGAAGTAAATTATGTTTTAAGGGACCATTAGCTATTTAGTATTTTTTACCGTTGATTCATTGAATGTTTAGTATTTGTGTATGCAACAGCATTAGTGTCCTTAGAAACAAAATTGTTTAGACCAGGAAAGAATCTAGAAATGAAAAAAGGGGGGGGGCTAGACAAAAAATGTACTTAAAGTCCAATAAAAGCATAGGCATTTAGTTTAAGTTTTGAAATATTTTAAGTACCAAAGTCCTAGTCTAAGGGGGGGGCTTTAGCCCCCATAGACCCCCCCCCTTGTATCCGCGTCTGGTTTAGACTCACAAAAATTTAATAGTTTTTGTTTATTTAAATTGTTAGTATTTGTTACTATTGTTTACAGATAATTAGATAATGTTATACTATTATAATTGATTATTATTTATTAGTAGAAAGATGGTACCTATGTACACATTTTTACTAATATATAATATACATATTATGTTTTTAAATACTTATAAACACAATTAAAATGATAAATTTTATGAGTTGCTTTCTTAATTATGCTAATATTTGTTATGTTAACAATAATGGATTTATCATACAGAAAAAGTTAGAAAGAAGATTGATTATAATCCAGGCAGAATGATACAGGTATAATAAATAAATATAATTACTATTTAAAATCAAATGCCTAAAACGAATGACCGTTATGTAAAACCACAGTTTTTGACCGATTTTCCTAAAATGTTTGTCAATAGATTCACCAAGATCCGCAGAGTGTCGCGGCTTCCACTTTTTATTCCTTACTTTTTACTTTTCAACACATAAATGTTGAATTCAGTAGACTCATAAAAGACTATCATTTTTATTTTTGTTTATATTCTGTTAGAGTTAGTTCAAACCTTTGTTAGGTACTCTTAACTCACTGATTTACGGGTTGAATTTGGCGGTTTAACCTTAGTTTAACTATTGTAATACGGGCCATAACTGTGTTAAACATCTTTGAAGTTTACATTTAACAGAGTTTAAGAAGGGGTAAATCCATGGGCATCACCGTCCAGAATCATCTACTAATATATAAATCAAATATATAGTTATATATTATATATTGTTCATATTATGAGTATGATGCCTAACATTAAACTTTAAACTACACACAATGAAATTATCAATTCAAGTGTAGCCGAATAAATCCTATATAATACTATGTAAGTATATTATAAGCTTATAAATATATATTTAGCAAAGTTTGTAGTAAGGCCACACTATATGGTAGAGGTAATGAAAGTCTATGACATTGTATAAGATGTACCATTGTACCTACCTCGTGGATTTAAGTATTTATTGTTGCATGCGAAATGGACAAACTATAGAAACAACTATAAATATTATAAACAGGGTTATGTGAAGGTTAATTAGAACTCTATAGTACCTATCTTTTTTATAGTCGTTTTGTTAAGATACTGGTTTTAATTTTTCATAAAAATAAATAAACAAATTATAAATAGGTATGTAACCATACTTTTATAATACTGATACCACGGACTAAGTCCGTGACTGATACATTAATAAAATCAAGCATAGTGCCAATGGTTAATACGGGCAGTATACTATTGAGGCCCTCCAGTCCTTGGCTAAAATTCCTATCTACTTATTTTTAAACATTATAAATTAATAATTTATGTAGGTACACACTCACTCATCGCTACATCTTAAAAACTACAAAATGTACGAATTTTAAATTTGGAATAGTGGTTCCAAGGGCCGGACTTGGCAGCCGGGATACCGGGAGTTTCCCGGTGGGCCGCTTGTACTCGTAGGAGTGTTTTTTTTTAGGTTTATCGGTTAAGGCTCATCCTGTCGACAGACATAGACGCATTTTCTAATGCGATTGTTTTAGAAAACTATTTAGAATTAAGGAAATTCCTCAAAATAGATATGCAAAAAAATGAAATAATTGTCAAAAATAGATGCTAGTATGTTGTGTCATATTATTATTGTCTTCATTAATCGGTAATCCCTACCTTATCTAACGCACGTCTGCACCGCCTAAAATGTGCGACAATTATCACACTATCTCCATGACGTATAACAGGGGTCGGCAAATAAATGATATGGCCGTCCAGATAATTTGAACAAAATATGTTCAGGGGCCAGAAAAAACTAAAATCAGTTAATATACCTAATGTGTTTATTTTTGTGTTAAAAATACAGTTCAAGCTGTTTAAATCAAATTATTCAATATACTAGTATAATACATACAATTCAGTTTTTTCTTAAATTTGGTACTCTTGGAGAAGTGGAGAACAACAACTATGCGGCATGCGCAGTCTTTTCAAGGTGGAGATCGGTTAATCTTTAACGATATGTATTTTATTCTTTGAAAACGTCATTTTGGAGAACGAAGTATGTATATGTGGAGCCAAAATACAACATAAAAAGAGATCAAATATCTATTATGATGTGCAGAAAACAGCATTAAAAAAATATTCTTGGCGGTCCAGATATTCCCTCCACGGGCCGGATTTGCGCCTATTGCCGACCCCTGACGTATAATGTTACATTTGATACACTAATCAATAGTATGGAAATAAGATATTTAAGTAATAGTAAATTTCCTTCCGATTGTGCTTTTTTACAACCTAGCAGATTCAATGAAAAGCATTTACAAAATTAGTTGAGCATTTAGTAAATCTTGACGAGAGTATAACGAGAGCTAACTTGATATCTGAACTACAACACTTTTCTTCAAAATGGGACCGCTTAAAATTAGCACTTGACGAAGAGTACGAATTTGATAATTTTACTGACGAGGAACAGCAGTTAGAACGAAATGAAAGCACTAAAAATTATAATTTGGAAATTGAAAAAAATCGACAATTTTATGCAATAAAATTAAAGTGTGATGTGAAACTAGTGATACTATAGTATACAGTACAGTCAATACTACTGAAATATAATCTGTACTGCGAAGCTTACAAGACACTATTTTTTGCATACAAATGTATTCCATCTCTGTCGTCAACACAAGTAGGTACTTTGTGAAAGAATGTTTTCGAAATTGAAGTATAATATTCTTTCAATAGAATAATAAATTAATTGATTCAAGATCAATTAGAATCATTTATGCTTATGTCAGCTGAATATGACATTCTGATGGCTTTTGATAATGAAATCATAATCGACACAATTTCGAAAAAGAGCTCAATACTTAAAAAAATCCTTAATGGCTTAATATGTATTTATGTGTTAAGTGTATTATGGAGTCTAAACATATGTATTTTAAATAAAAATTATAACATTTCTTTGTACTAACCAATTATTAATTTTTTTAACTTTTAATAATAATATTAAGTGTTAACATTTTCAAAATAATATACAATCATTTTATATGAAAATATATGTTTCTAGATTCTAAATGAAGCGATGAATGTATTGATTTTACAATGATGTGTGTTTTTTTTAATTTAATTAAAATTTTTGAATTTTGTGTCTGTCATCACCTTTTAGGATAGTAAAAATGCTTGGATTTTCTTCAACAGTATCTTTTCTGATAGGAAAGTGAATCTAGTTGGTACTTAGGGGAGCAAAAACGACGTGAAAAACAAAAGAAAAAAATGGGAATTTTTACCCAAAATCTGTTTTCGAGAAAATAGGTAGGTAGGTACATAACATTTTGACTGAATGTTTATAATTAGCATTTTCTATACACCATAACATTTTCCAAATATTTTGACTGATTTTGAGCTATTAATGGGCATTTTCAGTTTCCATTGTTTTTAGTTTTTTTTCTATAAATACCAATACAATTTTATTTGTTGGTTAAAAAAGCTTGACAATTTAATAGAAGGCTCCTAGTATATTGTTTCAAAGGCAGATGAAAAAAATTAAA